CTCATTTAAACACTTACACCATGATGAGCAATAACTGGAGGTGTAAAAAACTATGTCGAGCTTAAGAAATACAGTGATAACAAGGTCGGAAAACATAAATTTGTAGTAGAACTAGGTAACTTAAAAGAGGGAAACAAGCATTTCACAAGTTTCATGACTAGAAACACTCCTTAAGACCTACACATCAAAACCTATGCAGAAACTGGAAAACTACTCGAAACTGTTTTTAAGTCATAAATATTTGTGATTTCCTTTTTTTTCTTTTCCTTGTATACAAGTGCAAGTATCATAAGTATGGCTGCCACTGAGATAATCTCCTGACACATAATTGAATAAGGTAACCTCTTTCTTCCCTATTTTAGAGAGAAATGTTAATATACATAGTAACTTAACAAATGAACAAACTGCATTCCGACTCGGGAATGATCAGAAAAAATTGTATAGCGATTCTTAGTTAGGCCTCATTGTTAAGGAGGATTACCCCTTACCTGAAGGATGGTCTCAGCTGTCCATGGGACTGTCCATGGTTTTCCAATCACCTTAACTACTACATCTGCAGCCTGAAAAACATAAAGCTCTCGTTAAACTTGAGAAACATTTGTTTCAAGTACTTAATCATCTGAGTTAGTAATTAACAAATACTCATCAAAGAAGAGTTTTCCTGCAGCAATGAGCCTAGAATGTATCATAGTTCTTGTCTTCTTGAAGGTCCTTGTGTCCGAGTTAACTAATGTACACACAGATTCAAACACTCTAGTGAACATGTCTGACACACATTGGGCAGTGCACTTTTGGCAAATTATTTTTCCATTCGACGGAAGGAACATTTGTATGCATATTTGTCAAAAGCTGGAGAGTAAGATAGTCTTTTCCTTTCCTAATTCTACAGACTACAAGGGCAAAAAAGTTCTTTTTTTGACAACCGTGGTGTCCGGGCCAGATAGAAGATGAAGCATTTGCTACAAACACCAAAACTTCAAGGGACTTACGAGATTTCTCTTTTTTTTTTAAGAAGTGCAAAAATTCAAGGGACTCACAAAGTGGTTTCTATGTTGTGGAAGAATGTGATTGTCACAAGTCACAACATTTAAATGGTGAATATGAGCAACTGATTCAAACTCCAAAGTAATAATTCGCTTCTAAATTCAAAAAATATCTGTGGGAAAGCTAATTCCCATTCAGCAGAAACGATGGCAGTGTCTCCTTAAAGATACAATTCAATACAATAAATACTATTTAATAAAGAAGGTTGTCACGAAAAAATAAAGCAACAGCGGGAAAAAAGAAAACTGAACTCCCCCCTCAATTATCCCACCCCCCAAACCCAAAAAAAAAACATCACAGATTAGACAAGGGAATTTATAGCTCCACTGCTGTATGGCATGAGAGAAATACCAGCTCTATAAATGAAAGCAAATTACCTCTCTAAATCGCGAAATCCGGTTTCTTTTCTCCACACTAGGTTTATCGATTTCCGGGTTCTCCAATTCCTTATGTAAAACGTCATCAATAGACTCAGGGTTGGAGGCACCTGAAGACGATTCTTCATTCCTAAAGCATGAAATTTTCCACCTCTGCAAAATTGTCAAGTAGCTTAAGTCTAGAAATGTACATAATCCAGTAGCATAAGAAATCATTAAAACACGTTGAATGTACTGGATAAATACTTAAGAAGTTACATTCAATTTACCGATTGTACACTTCAAAACAAGTACTAAAGCTAATTACATAACTTAATACTTAACAGCTGAACATGTACACCACGTCACATACCATAAAATACCAACCTAACTCGCTTACGGAAAAGTACCATCATGGTATAAGAACAAGAAAACCAAAAGACCTCTATTAGCATCCAGAAAACACACTGTCCAGTGGAATGAATTCTCCATCAATGAAACACCCAAATGCATACAGATAAAGAATCACTAGTAAAGGTCAAAACTTTTGTGGTAGGTTGGGATCTTACATAACATAAATCCACTCACGACTAAGAACACAAAGAACTAACAAACTTCTGTTCCGAAATACTGACTGTTGAATAGAAGTTTGAACTTTAGGGGAATAAAGAATGTTCAAAAAATCATTATCTGGGTTCAGATAAAGAATCACTAGTACTACCCGCTACTGCATTATTTAAACCCCACGACAATAAACACTGAGCTGAACTCTAGATGGTAGGTGACCCAGAAAACATAAACCCACTACCTATATTACCGAAACCCACAAGTTTAAACACAACAAATTAATAAACTAAACTCTAGCAATGCACACCAATGAGTAAAGACTGAAACTTTATGGCGAGAAAAGATTGAAATGTTACAATATTTGGGTTCACATAACGGATCTAAAGATTGAAACTTAGGGGAGGCAACCTTGGGTCTCCAAGAAAATATAAACCGACTATATTACTTAAGCTTACAATATACACACAAAAAATTGACAAACTATACTACAAAAATACACATTAATGACTTAACAATGTTTAGATTTGTTGAATTTTAGTCTGCCTTCACAAATTAGAACTAGCTGGTCCAAATTGTGCAGGATCCAGCGCTGGCCATGGAAGCCATCCATTCAAGCACTTAAAGTATAAATGAAACAAAGGTATCCCTCTCGGGAAACAGGGTATTGAACATTGAGTGAAGATTGAAACTTATGGCTGCAAAGATTAACTTATACAAAAAGATGCAGAAAACATAAACCCACTACCTATATTACCTAAGCCCACAACTCTAAACACAAAGAATCAACAAACTAAACTCCAGAAATACAGAACAATGAGCAGAGATTGGAACATTATGGCGAGTAAAGATTGAGATATTACAGCTACCAAGATTAAATTTAACATAAACACACTACGTATACTACCAAACCCACAACTCTTAACACAAATAATCAACAAACTGAACTCTAGAAAAACAGAACAATGAGCAAAGACTGGAACTTTATGGCAAGAAAAGATTGAGCTATTACAATTACCAAGATTAAAATTAGCATAAACCCACTACATATATGATATACTACCAAACTCACAACAACAAACACAAAGCATCAACAAACTGAACTCTAGAAACACAGAACAATGAGCAAAGACTGGAACTTTATGGCAAGTAAAGACTGAGCTATTACAGCTACCAAGATCAAAATTTAACATAAACCCACTACATATACTACCAAGCCCACAACTACAAACACAGAGACTAAACAAATTAAACTCTAATGATACATAAACATCATAAGGATTGGAACTTTATGGCAAGTAAAGATTGAGATGTTACAGCTACCAAGATCAAAATTTAACATAAACCCACGACATATGCTACCAACCCTACAACTACAAACACAAAGACTTGACAAATTAAACTCTAAAGATACATTAACATCATAAAGATTGGAACTTTATGGCAAGTAAAGATTGAGATGTTACAGCTACCAAGATCAAAATTTAACATAAACCGACTACATATACTACCAAATCCACAACTACAAACACAAAGAATTAACAAATTAAACTCTAAAGATACATAAAGATTGAAACTTTATAGCTAGTAATCATGAAATCTACTGAAAAAAGATTACCTTTGTAGAAATCCTGTGATGGGGTTCAGAGATTCTGATTCTGTGTGAAAGTGTGGGCAAAGATTTGGGGGAAAATGTTGAAACCCTAAATCTAGGAGATGAAGTAGAAAGAAGAGGGCGTTGAGGAAAAGAGTGGGTACAATTGGAGCTCAGCATGAGACTAATCTGACTATTATTATCACAAAATGCTCTAATTTTGTGAGAAAATGGAGAGATTGAATACATGGGATTTAGGCATTTTCCCCCCTTTCTTCCTTGAACCACCAAAAACCAAACCCTAGTTGCTACCAATTAATTTCGATCTTGAAAAAAAATAATTTTTTTTAATAATTTTTTTATATTTATGTGTATTTTTTATTCATTTATATGGTATGCAAGTTGACGTTTTTGACGATTGACGTGAGGAAAAGAATCTATTGGATTCTATATGGCTGGGTACAGTAGGGACTAGGGAATATTGTCCGTTGCCTTCTTCTTTTTTAGTTTTTAGTTTAGTTTAATTCGTGTTTTCAATAAATTTTAAAGTGATGAAAAATAAATTACAATAACAAATAAAATATGAAAAATATATTTTTATAACTTAAAGACAATGTGGATACAATTCTGCTTATTTTACCCAAAAAAAAAGGATACAATTCTTCTTATTTTTTTGATTTTTTTTTCTTGATTATCTCCATAATTCGAGGCTGAAGTAGCATGTTTCTCGACTATTAAAATGGCATGAACCATCTTTAATATATTTGATCTTCATGAATCTTTTTAAAATATTTGATGGTAGAAAAAATACAATCATATCTTGATCTCATTATAAATATCCTAAAAGATTATGGCTTGTTCAAGAATTTTATGATAGAGTTGCCTAACAAAGATTATTTCTCTTTCATCTATAATTTTACACCTTCAAATTATATCGACATTATAGACATTAATATATCTTTTGTTGGTAATGAAAAAGAAAAAAAAAAGACCTGTCTGGTCCATTTTTTCACCTTCTTATTTGACTCGTGTGTATATACCAAAAGTTAGGAAGATAAACGCCATTTAGAGCACTTTATGTACAAATATTTTCCTTTTGATTATCAAAATCGCTTTCAAGGAAATGACTCGCCACATCTAAGCTTTGTAATTGATAAGGTAACCTTAAAATGAGAATTATGCAAATAAGGTATTATACACATACTATATTAAGTACTCTTTCTATGTATTGTACTTATAAAGAAGCAACGGAAATTTTTCGACTCATTGGTTGCTTACAATATACAATTCCGAGATATAACTTGTATCCATGCGCTTCATATTAGGCACCACGTTGATGGCTATTAGAAACTTCATAAGATGGACAATCAAAATAGCAAATATCAAACTCCAGAATGAAAAGCTACTAAAAGGTGTACTACAACAAGTTCTCATACTCGAATGAAATATTCACAAGACCAAATGTTACATGAAAAAAAAGCTATGTACAAATACCAATGACCCTAGTGGGGTTTCTCCCCTTATTGATACAGATACATTTAGCAGTACAAGTTCCAGTTCAAACCCATATAACATAAGAAAGAGTGAAGAAACTAAAATGAAAAGGACACAAACATAGCGGTGGAGCGCTGCAGGCCTGCAAACCAAATTGAGAAATAGAGTGATACATCTTACATCCAGTTCTTAGAGACTATGAAAGAACTCCCTGGCTCAGATGCAGGAACTGGTTCCTTGCTGTTGTTTGAGGTACGGCCAGAACCACCTGCTAGCAATGCCATCAAACCTCCTCCGTGCACCCTTCCTTCAGAAACTGATGATGAGCTGCCTGCGACTGGAATATTGGGTTGGTTAAATCCAAGATATTTCATGTGATGGTCATCGCCAGATGTCATACCAATACTCTGCATTTTCGTGACATCAAAACAGATGTCTTCCGCATTGACAATCTCCTTCATTTTCTCAGACTGGTTTGGCTCTAGATCCAGGACCATAGTCCCAAGAGTGGCACCACCATGGACGCATTTGTCTTGAACGAGAGCACCATGAGATGCACAAAGTCCAGTCTTCCCTCTGGCAAATGAGTTACAGAGACCATCACCTTGGCCAAATTCAGAATCAGGCTGACCCCAAGAGCATCTCTTCCCTCCACCATGGGCTTTGCAGAAATCGGTGCTTCCCTGAGCACTTTTCCCACAGCCTTCAACTTTGCATCTTTTTCCACCACCATGGCGTACACAAAAATCAGTTCTTCCCCTTGCACTCCTGGTACACTCTGACACAGCACACCTCTTGCCACCACCATGGGCCACGCAGAAGAGTGTCCCCCCATGAACACTCTTCGGGCAGAGCCCATTTCCTTGGAATGAACATCTCTTCCCACCACCATGACCCTTACAGAAAGCTGTGCTCCCCTCTGCCCCTTAGTGCACCCTTCAAAGGTACAACGCTTACCACCACCGTGTGCCTTGCAAAACATGGTACTTCCTTGGGCTCCTTTAGTGCATTGGGGGTACTGACAGCGCCGGCCACCTCCATGTGAAATGCAAAGGCCAGAGAGTCCTTCTGCACTTTTGGTGCAGCCCTCATGCTGGCATCTCTTCCCCCCACCATGCCGAATGCATAATCCAGACTTCCCTCTGGCAGCGCGGCTGCATCCTTCTTGACTGCAACGACGTCCACCCCCATGTGCAATGCAAAAGTCGGTGCGTCCTTCCGCGCTCTTTGTACAACCTAGGAATTCACACCGACGACCACCCCCATGGGCTTTGCAAAATGCAGTCCGACCCTCGGCTCCCTTGTGGCAGCCTGGTTTCTGACACCTGCGGCCCCCACCGTGGGCAATGCAAAGCCCAGAAGCACCTCTTGCTCCTTTTACGCATCCCTTAAACTGACACAGTTTAGTACTACTGCTACGCTGCTGCTGGTTTGTTAACCCGGAAGTACAGGTGACTGAGCTCTTTGAATTTGTGATTATACTTGACGACAGATCGGGGGAGACTGTAGCTAGCTTGATTTGTGTTGCAGCCTGGTTCAATAAGTAACTAGCCTCAGTTTCCTGTGGAGTTCGTAATGGATGGAAAATGTTGCTAGTCTTCCAATGTATAGCTGTTGATACTTCATCAGTGTGAAAAGCTCCAGCCATCGCCTGCGGTGCCTTCATGATACTTTGTGGTGAAGTGGAGAGCAAATGCACAGTAGTGACATCAGATTCAGCAGCACCACTAGAGAGACTAAGTTCCAGATCAACTGCAAGCCCTTTGGCAAGTTTTTTGGCCTCAGGGTGAGCAGACTTTCTAGAGCTTGAAGTCTTCTCACTACCAAGATGGAGACTAAAGTCCAAGTCCAGGTCCATCGAGGACTCTTCATCATTTTCTCTTGCTGAAGACATTGAAGTGCATGCAGCGCCTGAGCTCCCCTTGCTATCCGAGGAACTTGATGAATGTCCTAAACGTAGAGACAAAGATGAACCAATTGGCTGATCGTTAGATCCACCAATTGAACTCCATTTTCGTTTGATTCCTTTTGGGGCAGGGATGGACGGAACTGAAGAGCCAATTGAATCAAGCCGTAAGGTGGTATCAGCACAATAACTACCTCCAACTCCAGCTTCACCAACTGCGATGGATTTGCCCAGATTCTTGAATGCACTTAACTGAGGGTTCACAGTAAACCCCACATAACGGAATCTGGGATCCATAAACTAATAGCTGTTATAAAAACTTCTATTTGAACCAAATCTCAATTGAAAAAGAACAGTCAACCTGACTTCCGGGCTTAAGAAAAGTTAGTTGTAAACTAGGGTTAGATGTGTCTACAAGAACACATCCCACCCCCACTAACGAATCCTGAAGTATCCTTACGATCCATTAGCAATCAAATATTACTCCCAACTTATGATCAGCAGCAAGGAAGTAACATTTTGTGCAAAATCAAAATCAAAGTCTCTGATGCAAAATCATGAAAGGCGAACATCCTGCACCAATCAAGTTACAATAATAAGCAAACTCTAGGTCTCTCTACCGCCAAAAAAAGGATATCACATCAGAGCAGAACTGAACCAAAGAGATCATATCAATTTATTGCACAGAATTAAGCTATTTTGAAAATAATTTTTCCCTCTGTTAATGCAAGATTCTGTTCTCTAATTTTGAATTGTTTGAAAAATACCTCTATTATATTTTGTAGCTTTATATGGTCTATGTTGTCTCCATATGTTTTGCAGAAAGCTCTGAACAGTTCCTAACAAATGCTTCTACCTAAATAGTTGGAGCTATGCCTTTTTCTTATTGCAACTAAGTAGCTGAACTTCAGTGCAGCTGGATTTTCCTTTCACCAAGCCTATGTCTAATAAACTAATTTCCAGGTAATATGCGAGTCCATAATTCAATGAGGAAGTGAGGGAAAAATCAAATGATAAAATCCAGTTGGTATAAATGAAAATTCTTTATCAGCTAGTTCTTTGCTTCTTTGAGCCACACATAAACATGGAAATTCTTGCTTGAAGCTAGTTCTGCAGATATTTTTTTAAGTTCCTCTTCACCATTCACCAATTTTTATTTGATATCACTTATATCTTTCATCCTTATTATAATTAATAAGAACGTAAAAATATCACCTTTAACCATGTAAAAGTTCAGAGCATATAAAGATTGATAGTTTTTCATCAGAAATAATATAAGTACAAGTATTGACTAAGAAGTGAAGAATAAGCACGAAAAATATCTTATAACAGCTGGTAAAATTCTCCGCAAAAGATTAACTATCCTTTAAAATACAGCTGAATAGTGTAAACTAAATGTACCTTTTTGTTAAACCATTAAGTGAATCCAATTTCTCTGAGTTCACAGACCTAACCAGAACACTTGATGCTCAATTTCTTTCCGTGCTTCGTTCCTATCCGGTTAAACAAGACAACATAAAGAGACTTGATAAAGGCCTATGAGAACGCAAAAAAAAAAAATGCAACAAATCAGATAGCCAACATACAGATCAGATGTGAACCAAACTAGACCTAATGAAGATACAACTATAACAAATATCAAAAGGAAAACTTGCAGCATAAACATCAACTTTCCAAGGTCCAACTTTAAGAAGATGTCTAATCCAGCTAAAAATAACAAATCTAATAGTAAATCTCACACATTGAACCAAGCTTTAAACTGCATCATCAAGAATTCAATTTCAGCTACAATTACCACCCCCTTCTTTAACAGAAACTGGTCCTTGCACTGTGGGGCCAAGCCGGTAAGGCTGCGTTCACTCTACCCTCCCCAGACCCCAGACCCCAGTTGCAGAGCTCAATTAACAAAGCACAGTATCAAGTCAAGCAATCATGAGCATACAAAAATACCAATTACCTTGCAGAAAAAAAGTTCTGCAGAACATTACACATCAAAAAGAACCCACCTTGAAAGATAGGAAACAGAAACAGATAAAAAAGATAGTGAATACAAGACTCAATCAATAAAGTAGACATGAATAAACATACAATTAATAACAAATCTTGGTAAAAACTTAGCCAAACCCCCTTACCACCAGATAAAACCCAGCTAAAACCAGAAAAGATAGATCTAGAATTGATAAAACCTTAACTCAATTCCCCATCTTTTGCTTTTACCAAAAACAGGTCTCAATTGAGATAACATATAAGCAAAATCGCAAACACACACAAGCTAAAAATCAAATCTTGCACCAAAAAAAGCACCAAAACAATAAAAACAGAGAGACCCAGTTGGATAAAGAGCAAAATCACGAACACTCACAAGATAAAAATCAAATCTTTCACCAAAAAAAGCACTAAAACAACAAAATCAGAGAGACCCAGTTGTAGAAAAAGACTATAGATCCAAGAAAATACCTTAAAAAGATTGGATTTTGTGCAAAAAATCTTTCAGCAGAGAGAAAAGGGGTTCTAGGGTTGTTTTTCTTTTTGCTGATTGTGTGCCGCCGGCAATAAAGAGAAGAAGATACAAAGAAAATGAGGAGATTATTATTATGAGGAAAAAGAGAGATAAAGGGGCGCATGTGTGTATTTTATATATGTTGCAGGGACATAGTGATTATGTATGTGGCTGCTAATTCTATACAGATACGTGTGTTGCTGTGTGTGCTTTTTTTCTGTGGGGAAAGGAAACTGTGTGGAAAATGTAAATCACGGGTCGTAATCGAGAGATAAGTATCTTTTTATTTTTAGCTAAAAAATTTAAATTACATGTCTATCGTGTTTGCTAGAGAACGATTTATTTTAGTATCTTATGTTCAAGATGGTAATCTTCTTCATTTCTCATTCAAACTAACTTAATCTTGATTTATTGATGCGATTTTAATTGAAAATTTCATTATTAAAATTATTTACAAAGATTTTTCGTAATGAGATTTGAAAACATCAAAAGAATTTTCAATCATCGAAAGAAATTCTAGTAACAAGACCTATAAAATATAAATATCAAAAGTGAAAATATACGATAAATCACTTGTTCAATTAAAATTAAAGATTATAATGTAAGTATTGTTATTCACGAACTTGTTACCACTTAAAAGAAGAAAATGAATTTATATCTCTCAAATATTAAAGTTCGTATTACTATGTTTTTTATTTGAATTTTCCAAAAATCAATTCACTATCAATACAAAAATATATCACTAATTCAGAACGATTTTTTTAAAAAAAAATTATAAACTTAGTAGAACTTAATAACTTTTATTTAAATCTAATATTACTATAACTTTTTTTATAATTTTGTCTTTTTTCTCCAACTTAAGTCTCAACAAAAGGGTTCCATATTGGCACTAACTATCATTACGTAAGCTAATACGTAAATAATAAATAATTGAGGTGCAATATGAAAAACATTTGTCAGCAAAAGAAGCACAAATATGATACGAAAACAAAACGATAATGTTTTTTTTTTCTCTCTATATATATATTTTGTTAGAAACTTCTAGTGAGTGACACATTTAAGTAAACCATCATATTACAATTTTCTCATAAAATTTATGATAAAAAAATAATCTTAAATCATGCTCTAATAAATTTATTAAATTTCTATTTTAAGAAATATCACGATCTAAAATTTTCCCTTGATAACATACATGAGTGATTGAGTGAGTATAAGAAATCAAAAGTTCAAACATAAATATTATTACAATATAATTATTTTTGTCGATCGATTAAATATATAACTTTTTCTAGTCAAAATGTTTGGTGTTGTTTCCTTCGATGAAAGGAAAGGGCAAGTGGACTAATTTATTTTTATCGTACAAAAAAAGGTTACAACAATGATGTTTTTAATAACGTGAGACATTTTCTTGTTTCTTCTTCTATTTAATTTAATTAGTCAGCAGCATCTCGACACCGTTCATGGTGCCCTTCCCTTTATTTATTTTCTTTTTTGGGCCCACATAGTTCAATTATTACACATCACTGGACCCCACATTATAAAAATTATTTTAATGTTGACTATGGTAATTTTTTTAAATTTCTGAATTTGACTATGGAATATATTTAGGCGTATTAGTAATTTTTTGTATAGTTAAACTCATAATAGTAAAATGTTAAACACAATTTTAATAAAATTATTGTTGTGCTTACGAAGATTCAGACTCTAAGACAACAGAGATTAGAGTTACTTAAAAGTTATAATCTTTTAATTTGATGAAATAAATCTATAATTATAATTTAATTTCGTATTCTTCAGTAATAATTATGATTAAAAATAATAATCTAAGTTTGTCATGGAAAGATTACTTACAAATATAAAATAATAAATATTGTTGTGACAAATAAGAAATTATTATAATTAATGACATAAAAAAATTTGATTCCAACAAAAACATGTTCTTATAAAGAACTATAGTATATAGTTATTATACAGAGATCTTATTATTATTCAAATTTAAAGATAAATATATACTCACGTTGTGCATGTATTTATAATTATTATTTTTTACCTTAATTCTCACATAGTAACATAATATAATTTGGTGTAAATATTATGTATTTTTTTAATTTGTTTTTTTAAGATTGAAATGAGGTCTTATTGTGATTTTTATTACAATATTGACTTTTTTCTTCTAGTATCAAAAACATATGGAGGGCATAGAAACAACATGTCAATCTTTAAAAACAAAATAAATAGAATTATGCCATGAAAATATCCAAAGATCCATCCTTTTCCTAAAACACTTTTTTACAATATTGAAAGGAAAAAAAAACGATTTATATTATTTTCTAAATTAAAAAGAGAAGAACGTGGGAAAAAGGGAACCATTTGAAAAAAGAGTGGTGCAAATTCGTTTTTTGAAAAAATGTAGATAATCGATCCGTGCAGCATCTTGGAAAAGAATAAATCATAAAAAATAGTTGAATTATTCTGAATTAATTGTAAAAAAAAATCTATTTATACGAGGAAAATAATATTGAGATCATGATTTGAACATGTGAAAAGAATTTATGTGACGCAAGAAGGTGTGAGAAACCGTTATTGTAATAAGATTTAATGAAAGGTAGAGGTAGGCCAAAAAAAGAGCCGATGGAAGTCAAAAGGCAGGACATGATCCTAAAATTTGAAAGTTTGGAGGTTGAGTATTAAGGTAGAAAGCTAGTTAATAGCCGAGTCACATTTTATATGCGAGAGATAGAGTGATATTTAGTATAGTACTCGTATATATAGTCTCTTATTTTTTCATGTGTATTACAATATGTTGTCTCATTTATTTTGTACGTACCTAGCTATTTTATTAAGTTATTCGTCAAAATTTCATTTATTCAATGACCAAAATTAAACGAATATAGCTTAGACGTAGAATAAAAATTCGTTTATTTGCATCAAACTGGGCTCATTCAAAGCTTATTAAGACTATTACTCAACAGAAAATAAGAGTTTTAGTTTCAACTCATCAAAATAGGAATAGGATGTTATTTTTGTAGTTTTGCATTAAAAATATATTTTTTTAATCGAAAGTCTATTAAAAACTACCTCACAAAAATAAAAATAAGATTTACAT